TCATAATGAGCCGGCAAACCGATTTGAGTGTTGGGTTTAAACCCGGGCGGATACACGTTCATAGCAGAAACATCAGCCCCAGTTTCTAACTCAAATTCCTTCTCTAAGTAATTTTCTTCAAATCCCAGTGTTTTCGATACTGCTTTAGCCAAATTAATTATCACCTCTCGATTCCTTTGGTAATAATCTTCCAAGGCCTCCCTGTAAGTAACATATATATATAGTCTGACATAAGTTAAGCTTAATCTTAGGCCATTTAATAAAGACAAAGTAGGGGATGAAGAAAGTCGAGTTAGACCAATTATTAGGATCCGTAATTGTGCTTAAGGGTAAGCATCAATCTGGCTGAAATGACTAAACTGACTTATCTAAATCGTAATGACAGCTTTGATTTGGTTTTGATCATAGAAAAAGTCAAACAAAAACCGAATCGTAATGGTTTGGTGCAGTCGCGGTTTTAATTTTTAGAAACCGAAACAATCACCTGTATATTTTACTGTTAAATCCAAACCACGGTTATTTTTAAACTCAAAACTAGGTTTTTTTTTATAAATACAAATATAACCACAATATAACTTTAAAAGATACAAATATACAATCCAAATCCTTATGTTAATTTTTTTCACGAAAATATGTTCGCTTTTTTCTTTTTCAAAAATGGCATTTTTTATTAAAATTGTAGCTTAAGTGGTTAAAACATTTACTTATTCATCAAAGAAGAAATGAAAAACATTTTTTTACATTAAAAAGAAAATGTAGGATTTTTGGTTGGTTAGGTGAGTAGGTTGATGCATGGGTCGTACACACACGATTTTGTCTTTTCTTCAAAAACACTATTTTCTTGTACCTGAAACCAGCTGGTTTAGCAGGGCCTTCAAACTTTGGATGTGGGAGCACCTTAAGATACTCCCTCTTGACAGCTTCATGGTCCCCGGGTGAGAACCCTAGCCCCCATCTGATCCTATCCGTTGAATTCTTCTTCTCATAATCCTTCTTTTCCTCCTCCGTCAGATCAAAGAAATCAGAAATCCCATTCAGTGCTCTCTCAATTACGCAATCAGGCACCCCATGATTTACCAGCTGCCAAGTTATCAGGCAACATGTTACATGCATGTGTAATTTTGTACGCAATATAAACATGCGACAGCAAATTATAACATAACACAAAACCCTAATTAATTAACAGTTTCGTTTCTTTTCTTTTAGCCAAATATGTATATGTATTTACAGAGCTAGTATTTACAATGCGATAACACTAATGAGTTAATAACAAAGCCACATAACCCTACAGAGTGGGTAAAATTTCTTAACTTTTCCGATGTGGACACTACTTCACATCCTTAGAGAGTGATCAGCAGCATGTTGTATGCCAACATGTTCACAGTTGAAGCTCTATGTGTGTGTGCGCGCACATAGTGAATTGGTTTTGAGGCACAGTAAGCAAAATGGTGTGCTATGGGGGAATGAATGCATATGTAGATGAGAGGAAATTCCATACATAGAAAAAGCCGTACTCCTCGCAGACATAGGCAAGGTATTGGAGGGATTTGAGTCGTTGATCAGGATCATTAGAGCAGATCAGCATGCTGTAATCGATGGTGGGGATTTCATCATCATTAGTTGAATGATTAAAGGAGGTGGTCCTTTTGGTATCAGAAAGGCTTTGGGTCAATACTACAGAAGCTGTTTTAGCCATTGAAAACAACTAAGAAGTAGCGATGTCTGCAGTGAATAAAGAGAGAGTGTGCGTTTTGATTGGATTGAACATCGATCATTGCCTGTTTTTATAGGCACATTGTGAGATATCAAGGTAAGGCTACGATGCCTCTATGTAATTTCTAGGAACATGCTTGTCAAAGTTAATTAATAAGATTATCTGGGAGGTTTTATTTAATGGGGGGTTTCACCATTAATCTTTGCTGAATCACTCACTTTCGTCACGCTTCTTTAGAATGATCACCTCTTAATTTCCGCTTAAGATCAAATTTAATAATTTTACGAGAAGAAGAAATTTAAAAAGTTTGTAAACAGGACAGATAGTAGATATCAAAATCATGAGCAAATGGTGCGTTAGAGGTCAAGACAAATATGGACATATATTAATGAAGTGGATAAGATATGTGTGTGTGTGTGTACAAAATTATAAATTTGAAGGATCTTCCACAATGGTAGGTACGTACATAGGACATAAAACAAAACCAAGGTGGAATGAGAAACTTTTTTCACAAGGCAATTTGGATTTTAGTCACCAATATCTTTAGACGGATTTGCCACACCTGTCGAATACGAAACTTCAAGTTCAAGCGCATGACTATCATCCACACAAATTCTTTAAGCAATATATGATTGTCAACCAAAATAGAACGGCAACTTGGGCTTTGCCACCTGTGGAAATCAGAGTCATTTACACACGTGTTTACTCATGCACTTGAACTTGGAAGTTTCGTATTCGATTTCCTCTACTCTCAAATTCCTTGTATATTTGGCAAAAAATTAAAAAATTAAAAAAATTATTACTTGTAAATTTGTCAACATGATTGATTAAAGAAATAGAGTGTGTGACGGGGGTGGAACCAATGCAAAGGCTACCCTTGGCTATAGCTGAGTGAAGATTTGGGAAAAATACAAATTAAACATATATGTAGCCTAATATTTTCAACTAAAAATAAATAAAATATATATACAATTTCAACACCAATAGGCATAGTTAGAGGTCTTCCACATTTGTATTTGGTGAAAAAGTTTGTCCCAATATTGATTTTAATTTTTTTCCATAAATTTGTCTTCTTCACCCTTTCGGGAATAATATGACTCTAATTCCATTTTTTTCTTCTTGTGTGTACAATTAGCATGATTTATTGTGGAAATGGTGTTGTGCAGAGATTTCTAAAAACTCTACAACCAAACTTTGAGAGTATAAATCACCTAGTATGCCATATCTAATATAAAATCAAAGTAAGAGTGGAAGCATTAAATAAACTAGAGATTCATGCAAGTCTCATTTGGTCCCAAATCACATGAAATTATTCTGTTTCCGCCCATTGGCTCGCCATACTAATTTCTCCATACTCACATAAATTGAAACAAAAACTTTATTATCTGAAATTGGTACTTAGGTGACGAGGGGTAAATTTAAAAGATATTCAACCAAGAACGCAGCAAACTTCACACACTCTAGACCTTGACCAAATACTCTTATGACTAGTCAACTGTCATATATAAATTATACTAAACAATAACATACACAGAGCACACCAAGATGTACCTGCAAGCCTAGAGAATTACTAGTGACAACCTAGACACTCAGAAGGACCCGTCAATCTAGGCATCCCATGTGCTAGCAACAACTATGGTGAAAGTGTGTGAAGACCAAACAGCAGAATCAAGCAAACACCAAACAGCAGAAAAAGATGACTAGTCAACTGCACAAACCCAGATGACTAGTCAACTGTCAAGAACACAAACCCAGAAAATTTACAGAGTTGGAAACCAGAAACTGTTTACCCAGAAACCCACCATTGGGAAAAACTGGGGGTCATCAACCGACCAGGCAATCCACTAAGTAGAAAAAGATTCTTACAAAGGAACACAAGCAAGCTCAAGAAAAACCTAGATCTATTTAGGAAGATGAGCTATACCTCCTTTGTGCAATCTTCTTCTCCAACTTAGCAAAGCTTGAAGCTCAGTTCTTCATGGCAATGGCAGCTCCTTCTCCAGCTCGTTCATCCCATAGCACTAGGTTGCAAGCTCCAACACAAACCGAAACCAAAATTTGGATTCAGGAGAAAGACCAATTTCTTCAAGAAACCATACTCTTGAAGAAATCAATCTTGAATCTGACCTAGATATAAATGAAAGATGATTTAAGTAGCTAGATGCAGATTTCGGGTTTCAAAAGCAGTTTTTCAAAAAGATATTAATTGGAAAAACTCATAGATGAAATAAGATAATAAGATAGTTCTCTCGAGGAAGAAGAAGCGAAAGATGGCAAGCCAAACTTTCCAAAACTTCCACCCAAAAGAGACAACTGACTAGTCATCATTTTTATGAAGACTGTTTTATGAAATGATATGCAATGCATAATACCTTTGTCAAATTGCTTGAACCTCTTAGAGAAGAGCACCAAGAAAGGTTTTTCTTAATCTAAACTTGAGCTTGATAAATAACAACACACATCCTATTACAAAGTTGTCAAGGGAAGCCAAAAGAAAATAGTAAAAACCATACATTAACAATCTCCCCCTTTTTGGCTTTCCTTGACAACACACTCTCTAAAAACACTCAACCTAAAACCGAGACTAAGGAGATGATGGAGTAAAGGTACCTGCAAGAACAACCAATCTTCCAGGCACAAAAACAAGCATATTATCACAGAATTTTTAAAACAATATGCAATGTGGGGTTGAGAGTGTTCTCCCCCTTGTTGATAACGAAAGTGCAAAAAGGCAGAGAGAGAAACAACATACAAAGGGATTAACCACAAATAGGATAGGCAGATATGAACAAAGTTAATAGCACATAACATAGATTGATGACTAGTAAAATAACAGTTGTTCAAAACAGTACAGAACAACTCCCCTTATCAAAATACACAAACTACCCATAATGTGATTACAAAACAAAAGACACCCAACCTACCCAAAAATACTCCCCCTAAAGCAAAACACCCGTTTAGAAAACATACTCCCCTTGAGTATCATATAACATAAAGGACATAACCTTTGACATATTAATTCAGCAACCTTTCCATAAATAGCCAGCAAACACAAAAGTGCATCAGGCTAAAGAGAATAAGAAATGGAGCATAAGTTGCAAGGAATCATACCTAAAGCAATTAAAATCAAGTGGCTGAATTTAATTTCAATGTGTACACATTACACATAAAGAAACTCCCTTAAAAAGATAGAGTTTCAGCAACATATTTATCAAAACAAGGGACAACCAATGAATTTTTCTTTACACACCATAGTACAAAATCAAGACAAAGTACTAAGGTTTCAAAATTTAAGGCATCAATCATTGTCAATTTGAAGAAAGCACCAAGCAAGATGAACCCTAAATTTTTGCTCAAGATTGAGGACATGCGAGAAAGAACACAAGACATAAGTCTCTAGGTTGTCCAAAAACACAACATAGCTTCCAAAAAGCACAAGAAGAAGAGAGTGGACTAGTGAAACGGACTAGTCACGCATGTCCAAATTTAAGGTGGCATCAAAAGACCAACAACCTCATAGACATAGCCAAGAACAAAACAGAACAAATCAATCGAGATAAGGCTTAGGAAGGCAACAATGATGTATGAAAATGATAAAAACAACAAGCAAAATGTTGTCAAAACACATGCATCTCAAAGAAACTCCCCCAACAAAATAAATTAAACAATCCAAAACTCATATAGCAAGGCAGATTCTTAAGGATTTCAAAAATTATGTTAGGCTAAATCATTGAATGTGGGAACACACCCTATTAAGATGGCTGGTCAAAGACCAAAGTGGCATCATCCAAACATGATCATATATAAACACAGTACTGGTATTGAAACAGAAGGTGTAAATGAGACAAGGAGAAGACAAGTGAGCCTTTGTGCTTTGTGTCATAACCAATGGTCTTAGTTCTTAGAGAGTGAAAATTAATTTCACCAAAAGGCACAAGATCCCTATTAAGCATACAGCATGACTTGATGGCCAGAGACATAGCTAAAGAATAAGAGACAAGACCAGATACACAGTCAGAAACGAAAATAGATCATGATGACTAGTCAACCACAATCAGCGTATGCATATAGTGACTAGTCAACCAGAGCAGTAATCACAATAAGCATCATGTTTAGTATCGACCTTATAGAAGATGAAGGACTTTGCTAATACACAGAGAAGCACTAGCAAACATATCAAGTGACCAGGGATGTTCAGCAATCATTGTCTAGACCAAGTCTTCAAGCACATGAATTAAAAAAGAAAAGAATTAAAGGCCTATGCCGAGATCAATCCTAACAAGATGTAAGCAGTTCATAACATTACAAAGTGTTCCAAGGACAAGCAAATGACAAGCTCCCTTTCATGGAAAAATCACAAAGTGCAATAGACCTATAAATGCAAACATGAGATTGCAGCCAAGACAATCATCATTCGAGTTACATAAAGCAACAACATCAATAGAAGACTACTCAAAAGTGACTTAAGGAACCCATAAGAGAGACAATCAGGTCACACATGGTAACATGGGTCAAATCCAAGAAGGACTAAATACCTTAAGACCAAACCAATACCAGTGACCAATGACTAGTATATATGACTAGTCATATGGGCTCAGAAGACAAACACCAACATTACTTAAACAAGCAAACTCACAGATTTCTCAAATGTGTGACCAAACCCATGACATGTCAATGAAGAAGCTTCACTAAAGCAAAGTATGGACTATCACAGCCAAATAGATACAAGAGAGACTACCAAGTAGTCAATGACTCCAAAGTATGCTCACAAATGCATACAATAAGACTCAACACAGTCCAAACCACATCAAAAGAAAAGAGCTTGAATGACATAAAGTGTAGAGCCCCTTTAAGCACAACAAATAACACAACAAAAATGCAACCAATAATGAATCAGTGAGACACAAAGAATGCTAGATTGGATGACTAGTCATGCGAGGCAGAAATGATTTCCAGAAAGCTAGCATGAAACACATTGACCCAAGACATAGCATACAAAGAGATATCCAAGCATAATAAGCCATATTGAGATGGAAGCAACTAGAATTTGAATTAGAAAAACGACATGCAATAGAATAAAAATGATTTCCAGAAAGCAAGCATGAAACACATTGACCCAAGGCATAGCATACAAAGAGATATCCAAGCATAATAAGCCATATTGAGATGGAAGCAACTAGAATTTGAATTAGAAAAACGACATGCAATAGAATAACATGCATCTCCATAACATGTGCTTAGGTTATTTGGAAAAACACAAATGGGAAATAGTTGAACTACAAAGATTAACATGCCAAGGCAATATATGCACTCAATTCCCAAAATCAATGAGACACATAAGTTAGAACTTCTCATGAAGCTTAGAGTAAGGAGTTTGGGAAAATGAGGTCTAATTCAATATGAGCTTCAATAATGATTTCCAAGAGTTGCATGAGACTTTCCAAGCATCAAATCTAATATAAGTTCTAGAAATCAAGGCATAAACCCTACCAAGAAATGTGATCCAAAAGTTGACATTTATCAATATTTTAGAAAGGCATAGCACACTTGCTTGTACAATTTTGCTTTTCTATTTGATGATGTACAATGCTCTTCCAAGCGCTTTTACCTTTTTATAAAAAATGAAGTATAGCACACTTGCTTGTCCGAAAATGCTTTTTCTATATTTGTGGACATTGCTTTTCCAAGGCTTTTACTCCAACAATTTATTTGCATTTTGATTTCCAAATGGATCAAAAGATCAAGGTAGAGAGACAACTACAAGTGATCTTAGACACTTTATAGATAGCTCAAAGCATATCATGCAACCCAAGTATATTCAACAAAAAATGCTCAAAATTGTAGACAAGAATGGGGATAACTCTTTCACACCTACAACATCATGAAAAGACTTCCACTCATAAGAATCATGCATCTTGAGAGAAGAGAGCTTACATGCAATTTATTAACACAAACAAAATGGAAATTCATATTATGAGCACATGAAATTGAAAATACAAGTTAATCCATTTTGCACAACCCAATAGATCTTTGAAGGAAATCAATACCTTCAAGTATCTAGCGGTTGAAGAAGAAAAAAAA